TCTCAAAGTCTTTAAAACAAGCATGCTGCATCAAGAAATCAATGGTATGGGACATCAAGTAATCAGTGGTATGGGACATCAACTACCCAATAGTATGGGGCATCAAGTAATCAATGGTATGGGATATCAAGTGATCAGTGGTATGGGACATCAACTACCCAATAGTATGGGGCATCAAGTAATCAATGGTATGGGACATCAAGTGATCAGTGGTATGGGACATCAAGTGATCAGAACATAACAGTATGAAACCAAATATGCTATTAAGTGATCAAAAGTACTGGATATCAAGTAATCAACAATGTAGGACCATCAATAGTAAATAATAAGTATTAGAAATCAAAATGTGGGCAGTAAGTGATGGACAGTAAGTAATAAACAATAAAGGGCAGTAAGTGATCAACAATATGGAACATCAAGTGATCAACAGTATAGGAAGTAATCAACAGTGTGATTAATAGTATGGGACATCGAATGATCAATTGTATGGGACATCAAATGGTCAAAAGTATGGGACATCAAGTGATCAAAAGTATGGGACATCAAGTTTTCAACAGTATGGGACATCAAGTGATCAATAGTATATCAAAGGAATCAAGTGTGGGACATCAAGTGATCAATAGTGTGGGACATCAAGTGGTCAATAGTATGGTATACATGTATCAAATGATCAATAGTTTGAGACATCAAGTGATCAATAGTATGGGTCATCAATGATGAACGTTTACAGTATGGGGCATCAAAGGGAGGTGAGACTGCAAGTAGTCAAAGTGATTATCTGACGATAATAGATTGGGGCACCTGTAATTACTAAATTATGCAGTGGCAATTGTCAAATGATCATACCAACCTATCCACATCGATCAACGTGCTTAATTGCGAGAACAACAACAAACTAATCACGTGACAATAACAATCTTTTATCATGTGTCTAATAAGTCCAAATGCAACAGACATCCTATGAAGAAGTTCTCAATAGCATATTTGGTTTCATAAATATACATTTATTTGAAGAAACAACCATAATTGAACACAGATTAACCAAAATTAACGATTTTATTTTTGCGAAAGACACACAACCCTGGAAGATAAATATGGCCGCCATCTTGCATGAGAATCAGAAGATTACACCAGCCACCCCAAAAGTTGAATTTCTACATTTGCGCATATATACAAGGGGTGATCCAAAAGTCTTGGACAGCCTGCTCTAATTTTGTTGGTTTTCGATAAAATTACTTTAAACTTTCCAATAATAAAGACCAATAACCGAACTACTTTGTGTATTAATTCCATGGTGAAATTATATATTTTATATAGTTTTCTAGATAGTTTTTAATATAGGGACCCTGCTACCCGGAACGGTATTCGCATATGGCAACGTTCAGCCTTAAATGTTGCCGCCATATGACTTGTTTCATAAGTTTTAACCACTATCTTCCTTTGAATTTTGAATATCTAACCATGTTAGTTTACTTCCTTTGTTACCAGGGAACCAATTAATTTTGTTTTAATTATAATGTCACATATGACAATGGCTGTATATGTCAAATTCTAAGAAAATGACATCAGACAAGCAACCCTCATTCTGGTATCATTTTTGATCCAAGATGGCTGCTGAAATGGAGAACACGAAAGAAATCAAAGTGAAACAAAGAATACTACAAAATGTTCACACTATTATTGACCTTGAGCAGCTCCCATCTGCGCGATACAGTCTGGATATGACTCGGTGTAATTTTCTTTCTTTTCTGAAGTTGAAAGGAGGGATGAAAGAAAATGTTTTTACTCATTGGATGAGGTTTAGAGTGGCACTCAAGGAACATTTGTATCACATAAGCAATGGCAGTTTCATAAATGTCTTCCATTCATGGGTAAAGCGGCACGAAAAATGTGCTCAAATTCATGGGAAATATGTTAAAAAGTATATCTTAACATGTGAAGATGATGGTGGCAGATGACGCTCAGATTGAAAAATCTGAAATTCTCTCATATCATGACTGGTGTTAGGTTGTGCACCTGCACCTAAAGTATTTTCCATATTAACAGTTGTGACGTAATTTGCTATATTTAAAAACCGTTCCGGGTGGCAGGGACCCGATATCAAAAAATATTTAAAAAAGTAGCTAAAATATATTATTTCATGGTTAAACTTATACACAAAGTTGTTAAGATGTTGATCTTTATTATCTGAAAGTTTCATGTAATTATATTGAAAATAGCAAAGTTAGAGCGGGGCGTCCAAGACTTTTGGATCACCCCTCGTATATCAGTGTAAGTTTTAATTTTTTATGATCTCAAGACTTTAAACTTTACAAATAATTGCTTAATCAAAGCAATCAAAAATTATTGAGGGTATAATTAATTGATTTAAACTTTACCTCATGAAGTTCAGCCTCGCCAAAAATGATTTTCTTCTATTCTTAAGAATGCACGAAGACTTCATTCAATCATTAAACAGATCTTATAAAGATATAATAGAAAATCAACTCTTAACATAGTAAAAATGAGCGATCAAAATTGCATATAAAAGCGGAGTCAATTTTTAGTGAATAAAATTTCCCGCGAAAACGCGCCATCTATTCGTTGTCCATTGCTACTATAAGTGGGACTCCCTTTATAGAAGCTTTGAACTGAATTTACACTTCTTAATGCAGAAATTGATACTTTATACATACATTTTAAGAAAATAGGTATGTCAAAGAAGGTGTTAAGCCAAATATTGACCTGATAGCTCAGAAAAAATAAAAATTTTCGAATTTTCTCTCTACAGTCCTTGTTGCCCCTTTAACTGAGTCAATGAAGGTTTATTTATCATTGCTAACACTGAACTGATTTATTTTTTATACTGTACATGTCTCCAATATAATAATTGTACTGAAAAAGTAAACGAGTGCTTGTAGCACTATTAGTCCTAGTCTAACAACATTAGACCTTGCCTGGGCCTCGTTTCTTATCTGACATGTCTTATGGCCCAGGCTAGGTCTAACCTAGCTCCTTGATCATGTTTCCTTTGATGAATAATTAAATCGTTCCCCAGGTTTCGACAAGCGGAACTAATTAAACCCTGAACACATGGTAATATTACACAAAGAATGTGATCCAAGCATGCATACATACCTTATGAATACATACACACCATCCCGTATCCCCCGTAGACCCTATTGATGCATAATTACGAAAAAATTTAAGACCGGTTTGGAATATAACGGAAATGTCGGTCAGTCCCTGTAACATCGAAATTCCAAATAGTATAAGAAATTAACCGTCATCACGGCACTGCATTAACAAACAGTAGGTTTGCAATTAAAAACTATTTTGCATGTATACACGCGCTATATAAATCAATCAAAGATACCTGTTTTCCTCAAAATTGATCTTTTTATCCCGAGTAATCACGATAATAATTATCAATCTATTTGACAACAATTTCGTTTCACTAATAGTTCAATTTCACAATCCGGGACACTCAGACGAACAGACACAATGACGGACATGCGGAAATGTCATTTTAGAGATTGGTAATTGTAGCCTCATTTTACTAGTATAAATGAACATTTAATACAATAATATTGTGTTAAATCACTAGATGTTATGTGTTTTATATCATTGTCAAGTATCAGTTACATGCTATGGCGGAAAATGGTTTCGATGGATCCAGAACTTGCAACAAAGGAAAGAATGTAGTAAGGAGGTTAAGGTACAGCTGGAAAGTAACATTTTGGTAAAAAATTGCTATACCTGCACATGTTATTTTCTGGTACAAAATAAAGTATGAAGGCATGTGTCAATTTCCTTGCTTTTTTCAGGAAAGTATCATTACGTCTTCTTTTAGAATATCTGGTAGGAGTTCAATGGGAACTCCAGGAAATTCCGATATTTCACACTTTCTATTTTTCCAAATTTTCTTTCAAAGTTTTCAGACAACACAGGAACTACCATTGACCTGTTTCCAGGTTTACTAAAAATAGACAGTGTAATGATCCTTTCCTGAAAAAAGCAAGGAAATACACACATGACTTCATACTTAATTTTGTACCAGAAAATAACATGTGCAAGTATAGCAATTTTTTACCAAAATGTTACTTTCCAGCTGAACCTTAAAATCAATAACGGACCAAGAAAATTCCTAAAAGTAAAGAACGCCGTTATTGAGTTTAACGACTTTGAACTAAGTTCTTCGCCAGCTAAAATGTCACTCGACTTTTTTTGTGATTTTGAATCACAGAAGGCATTCTGAAGTTTCAAACTGGCGCCATGTTTAATTTTTGGCATCCGCCTAATGTATATCACTTACCTTTTATTGATTCTTTCATAAGTTTCGTCAAAAACTCAGTTTGACCAGAGTAATCTGTCTCACCGCTCGAATTTTCTTGAAAAATGTCTATTTTCTAATCACCCGGATGTGCGGTTTACTTGGACTCGCCCAAAACGAGGGGTGTCAAACGCAAGATGGTAGAGATGCAGACATGTCGCCACTCTCAGAGAATCTATTCCATAATTTCAACATTACTACGCGGTTTTACAAGCGAAAAGGATAAGGGCAGGTTGTATATAGGACTGGACAAGATGAAAATAAATATTCTAAATAGATGACACCCCTTTCGAAATAAGATGAACTGAACCTAGAAGAAATTACGTCAGAAAAACAAAAGCTCCGTAGAGAAATTTCGCTTGAAATGTTGAAAAGCAAGCCCAGTTTTCTATGGGAATATACGGTAATTAACAGTTACGTGTACAATATTACCGAGTTCGATGGTGCATAAGTTAGGCAGTGGATCATTTTGTAAGTACGACAATGTGAATTAATGCGACTGTTCCTTTTTGGAAGGTTTTTTGCAAAAAAGTCAAGTGACATTTTAGCTGGCAAAGAACTTATATTAGTCCTGGATCTGGGTAAGTTTGTCTGTCTCGTGTTTCCCAAAAGACAACAAATATTGAAATAGACTAATATTGAAAAACAACAACAATTTCTTCTGATAAGTGCATCATAAACTACTTACTTTATCTTCCCATTCTGATTCCCCTTTGAAAGCTCTTGCGTAAACAGATGGTTTTTCTTCTTCTTGCTCAACCTTGCGCTTTCTCACCGCCGTATCTTGCTTCATAATTTTAGAATATTTTCGTGAAAAAGCTTTGAGCGATAATACAACGAAGTCCCTATGACAAACCACATGAAGTATTAGCCTGTGCCACAGAATAATTCTAATTCCTGGGCGTTACAATGTTGAAACTCAATGAGTTTGATAATAAAATAAATCGTATTTATAAATAGTAATATCTTTATGCTTCAGCAGTCATTTAATTAGATTGACCAGTATAGTCGGTCCCCACAAATTTGGATCCAATGAAAAGTTTGGAGATATTCACTTCTTCAAAGTAGTTTTTGGTGCTAGCTAAAAAATAATTCTGCGTTTAAAAGTGTTATATACGTCTTGTATGGTTTTAAAAGAAAATAATATAAATATGTAAAGTATGGCAGCAACATTACCACGGACAAATCCAAGCTCATCAAATGGTTATGATCCATTCAGACGGAAGGTAAGTAGTTTAGATTCTAGATCTAGAGTTTGAAACTTTTTTATGGGCTTGTCATCGATTAGTTCAACGTCGTTAAACTCAATAACGGCGTTATTTATTATTAAGAATTTTCTTGGGGCCATTATTGAGTTTAACCTCTTTACTATTCTTTCCATTGATGCAAGTTTTGGATCCACCGAAACCATTTTTCCGCGATAGTATGCAACTGATACTTGACAACAATATAAAAACACATAACATCAAGCGATTCAACACAATATTATTGTATTAAATGGTCATTTATACAAGTAAAATGAGGTTAAACTTACCAATCTCTAAAATGACATTTCCGCATGTCCGGCATTGTGTCTGTTCGTCCCGGGTTAAAATTTAAACTATTGAAACGAAATTGTTGTCAAATAGATTGATAATTATCACGCGATTACTCGGGATAAAATAACCATTTTTGAGGATAGCAGGTATCTTTGATTGATTTATATAGCGCTTGTATACACACAAAATCGTTATTAATTGCAAACCTACTGTTCGTTGATGCAGTGTCGCAATGACGGTTAATTCCTGATACGATTTGCAATTTCGATGTTACCGGAGCTGACCGATATTTTCGTAAAATTCCAAACCTGTCTCCAATATTTTCGTAATTATGCATCAATATGGTCTAAGGGGGGTACGGGATGGTGTGTATGTATTTATAAGGTATGTATGCATGCTTGAATCACATTCTTTATGTAATATTACCACGTTTTCGGAGTTAATTAGTTCCGCATGTCGAAACCTGCTGAACTCGCATCAAGGGCAAAATCATCATGGAAGTTAGACCTAGCCGGGGCCATAAGACATGTCAGATAAGAAACGAGGCCCAGGCTAGGTCTAATGTTGTTGGACTAGTCATCGATGGCCATCGATCCTAAGTCGGAGTTTACTCTATTTGCATGGGTTCCGACTTTTGGCTTGCAACCGAAGATACCTCAAGAAAAGCCGCAGATTGTCGAAGATTTTCTTTGCAAAAGAAGTTGGCCAAGGGCCCCAAGGGTACCACCAATGTGAAGAAGACGTCTCTAATTGGTCAAAAAGAGAGGCTCGGCATTCTCCGTCAGATTGAATCGGCAAAATTTGGTTGTATGGCTTACCTTCGGTTGTATGCCTTACCTCGGCTGCATGGTCCAACCACGATTGAATGGAAAAGATGCTGTCCCATATTTGCACATAGCCATACATGTAGACTATATCCTCTTACTTCGGTCCAAAGCCTTCTCTATATTCCGGCTTTGAGGAGGAAGATTGAGCTGCCTTAGTATTATAAATATTGTAAATCATTGTGTCACACGCACAGTAAATATGGCATAATAATATGAAATATACCTTTATGTATAGATTTGAAGAACATCAGCTCACATCCCCGTCTGAATCTATTGTTATATTTGATTTCTTTAAGCGAGAATAATTTCAAATGTTATTCACGTCCAGAACCGGAAGCCATTTTTAGCTACAGCGAGAAAATTTCACCATGTGTCAAACTCCGAAATGAAATTTTGAAATATCTAAATCCAGACAAGCAACGCTTCATCCTAAATATGATTAATATTCTTAAAAATATTTATAAAATTTATTAAAAATGAGTTCTAGGTGCGTGTAGGTGCGTGTAGCACAGTACATACGAAATCAATGAAGTTTCGTCTAGCTGTAAGCTAGAGACTCGAGTAAATATCCTCTAGTCTGAAATTTTTTGAAATTTGGAATGAAAATATTCAGACTATAGCCAAAATATGTTAAAACTTGGGATTGAAAATTACTTGTTTACATAGGAAGTGCCATTCAAAATGGCCGACTGGGTAAATAATTTGCATATTTGTTACTTCCCCTAGCTTTATTTCCATTTGACAATATGCTGTGTTACTTTTTATAGCATTTAATTGTACCTTACTACATAATTGAGTTGTTATAATGCTTATTTTTGGGAAGTGAAGTTTCCTAAAATTGATATTTGTGTGCAGGAAATTTCCTGTTTTTGGATATAGACTACATATACATGTAGTAAGTCGGAGTCAATATTCCATTTAGATGTTTGATTTACAAAAATAAGAAAAAGATATGACTTTACAGTGGGGAACATGATTTGATTGTTCAACCTTTTAGAACAGAATATGGAAGGAAATCAATCGGGACAAGTGGCCCATCAATTTATAACTCTTTATCTACTGATTTGAGAAACTCAATTCATATAAAAATGTTTCAACGAAAGTTTAAGTCCAATTTGTTAAGTCATTATTAGTTAGTTTGAACCATACTTCCACTATGTTACATCAAGATAATTAAAAATGTATGCTTTGTAAATTTGTACATTACAATAATTGTTCTAACATGACATGCTTTATGTATAACACATTTTATTTTTTCAAAACATGGAATCCATACACCCCTCGGGGTGTCCTTTTCATATCACTTGTAAATTAATATTGTATGAAAACTAGAATTGAATAATAAATTCAATTGAATTGAAAAATTGAAACATAAAGAATTACTATAGCTATGAAAATTACATGCTGTCGCACATGTAATAAATTCTTACCTCAGTGTATTCAGTGCTCCATTTTCTCCATCCTTGTAAGTCCAATTACTCAGATGCGAGTAGGTAGTTACCAGTTTCGCCACCAGGTGGCTGATTCGGGGGAATTAACATGGCAGAGTATTACAAAATTCCCTTAAACTTGAATATGCAGGAGTTTTAATGGTTTACTTTTCATATTACCTTTATGTATCTGATAGTTATACAAATTAAAATATGTCCAGTAAAAGAAAATATTATCTGCCCAACACAAGAAAAGATATTTCACTTTTTGTGGTTTTACAACATGGGCTCTATGGGGAATCTCCCCGACCTAGAAGTCACATTTCAAAGAAAATAAAATTTTCAAAGTTGATAAACTCTTTTCAAAACCACATTTCTAAATGTAATTTTACATGTAGATTCCAAATTGTGAATTGTGAATTTTTAATGACGTAAATCAAGATTATTTCTACTCGCATCTGGGATATTATAGTGGAATTTGTGTCCATAATGACAAATAAGAACTTAAAAAGTTGAAGTGGATATTCATATGTTAATGCTGACTCTTCAAATGTTGAGGTGATTTTGTAGCTCGATTACGCCACAATGGAGGATTGGCTCCCAGAATGCAACATGACACGTGCCAGCTTTCAAAATGCTGTTCCGCCATTTTGATACCTGTCGCGAGTAAATAAGGTTAATTGATGTTGCATTCTGGGAGTCAATCCTCCTTGGATCACAAACATGGCGATTCATGAAAACATTCGTTCGATTTGGTAGGATTTATCCATCATTTGCAGGTATGAAGCTTTGGATTCATTTATTGTGCTACTTAATGTGAATGGGAATTATTTTTCTACCGCTTGGGAGAGTTTGAGACATGAAACATGGAATTTAGCTCACTGTGACAACTTTTGATGGTTGAGGTTTATTTTTGTCCCCCACTTTACCACGCATCTACTCGCCAGTATGTTCTATGTCCTCCGGCAATCCTAGGTCCTCTACCGAACTCCCACGCAGTGTCTCGGTATAGACACTGCGGTGGGCAGATGAAGAAAATCTCCAAAATTTGGTGAAAATAGTTCCCCTTTTCATCATATGTGGTCAATTTTCACACAACTTATAAAATATGTATTCATGAATGTTCCCCAATCATTATTTTGTCAAAATCTCAAAATTATTGAAATATGAGAAGACATCACCACGGAAGGAATTCTGAGCAAAAGTTGTGTTGATAATAGTTTACCGCACATGTTGTTTATTAGTTCATACGCACAATTCAACCAATGAAATTGTCTAAATTTTACAATCACGTGACCTGAGCATGGGACTTGAACCAATCACGTCAGTTGTTTATTACGAAGTTACCATGCTTAGGGATACCTGCCCGCCGCAGTGATATATCACTGCACTGGAGTTTGATTCTCTACATTATGAAATCAGTCAAACATGACAGATGAAGGCAGTATGGTCAGGAAGAAAAATTAAATCGAAAAAATATTCCCATTTGTTGTAGAAATCATTGTGCCTCATTACTTCATCAGTTTAAATATCCATCCACCTAAAAGCAAACTGCTGCTTAGTTTCTATTAAACTTGTGATTCTGTTCCAAAATACGCCTCTGTTGGCTTCTATGATACGTTATTTTGCTATAATTTTGTGTAAAATGAAAGAGTAACATTTTCATTACGAAATTGGCAATGTAGGTCAAAAATATTTCCACGTGGGCAAGTTTATGACGCATTGGCCGTCACTCAGAATGGTAGCAAACGCGAATTACAATAAATGGATGTTGATATCTCAAAAAGTAACCGGACTTAATATAATTTTACGTAGATTAATCGAACTACTAGATGAAGTAGTACATTTTGATATATATCACAATCATGGTGAGCAACCATACCGCAGCGAGGATTGAATTTGATAATGCATGTGAGAACAAACTTTTTGTTTTCTACATTCTGTGTTTAGATACGGAGAAATCCTATACACTGTTCGGTTTACAATATATTAAGTAATGACCAAGTTGGATTAGCTACGTGATGATTGGCCTATATTGCGAAAATAAGATGAAAAAACACAAGCAAAGTTAAGATATTTATATGTTTATATTTATTTATTTTGATTCATTTTATCAAATATACAGAGTATACAGAGTTTT